ATAATGATATACATTCTGTGAATTTAAATCCGAATGGCCCGCGAAAGATGCTGATGTGGCAAAACATCCCTAACTGAAGAAGAAGAAACAAGAAACAAGAAACAAGACAACCCAAAATTACACCAAAAAAAAGCTAAGCTAAGCTTCTCTTGTCGTAACGATAATCGGATCTCAAACCCTTGCCGTGACAGTGAAAGGTACCGGTCGCCGAAGACGACGGCTTGATCCTTCTTCTTCTCCAATCGGAGAATCAGAATCGCTGGCCTTATCATCTTACAATATCATGATCCCCCTTTGAATTTCCTCTGTTTTCAAATATGGGATCCAGAATCGAAGAAGGTACAACGATTTCTCATTCTCCCTAGATTTTATATTCCGACTCGAATCCATTGTCGAATCAGAAAATGTGTGAAGAGATTTACACACTTTTGGTTCCTCTTCGATTCCTCTGTTTTCGAAATTAGGGCTAGGGTTTCATTTTTGTATGATAAATAAACAGTGTGTAATCAATCTGACTCTCGCAGAGAAGGAACTGGAACCGGATATGAAGAAGGGTTTGGCGACAGATCCGGTGAGTCCAACAGGGAGTACTGTGGCGGACTTGTCGCCAACTCCAACACCAAGAAAGACTCTGGTTCTGTCCAATTCCGGTAAGGCTTTAATGGGGTCCAATTCAAGCAAGTCCTTGGGACTTTCCAATTCGGGGAAACGGTTCGATCCAACGGGGAAGAAGAAGTATGTGAAACAAGTCACCGGTCGCCATAACGACACCGAGCTTCATTTAGCTGCTCAACGAGGAGATTTAGCTGCCGTTAAACAGATTCTAAGTGATATTGATTCTCAGATTACTGGTACCATAACAGGAGCTGATTTCGATGACGAGGTATCACAAAACCTTCTTCCACCTTTCTCAGATTCTTTAAGTAGCTTCAAATTGTGTTGATCAAAGTTTCATTTTCATTGTTTGAAAACTGAAAAGGTAGCACAAATAATGACATCGGTGGTGAACGAAGTGAATGAGTTAGGCGAAACACCGCTTTTTACAGCTGCAGAGAAAGGGAATATAGATGTTGTCAAGGAGCTTTTGCGTTACACCACTAAAGAGTCTCTTATGCAGAAGAATCTTTCTGGATTCGATGCGTTACACATCGCTTGTAGTCAAGGCCATCGATGTAAGAAGTTGTCTCACTATTCAAAAGATTGCATCTTTCGTTATGCTCTTGGTGAAACCGTGAGCTTCTTTTGAATGCAGCTATTGTCCAGTTACTTCTTGAGCATGAACCTGAACTGAGTAAAACAGTAGCTCAATCAAACGCGACGCCACTTGTGTCAGCTGCAACACGAGGGCATTCAGATGTAGTTGATGAATTGCTTGCTAAAGACTCAAGCTTGCTTGAGATTTCAAGATCTAATGGGAAGAACGCTCTTCACCTCGCTGCTCGTCAAGGTCATGTAGATATTGTAAGAACATTGCTTGATAAAGACCCGCAATTAGCGAGACGAACAGACAAGAAGGGACAAACTTCTTTACATATGGCTGTGAAAGGAATTAGCTCAGAAGTTGTGAGGTTACTACTTCGGGCTGATCCGGCTATCGTCATGCTTCCTGATAAATTCGGTAACACCGTGTTACATATCGCTACAAGAAAGAAAAGAGCAGAGGTAAAAGTTTACGAAAAATGATTGTTTCACACTCTTGAATTTTTGATTCTCGAATTCTTGTGTTTTTATTTGTAGATTGTGAATGAGTTGTTACTACTTCCGGATACAAACGTGAATGCGCTAACACGAGACCATAAAACCGCGTACGATATCGCTGAAGGACTCACACATTCAGAGGAAACCGCAGAGATTAAAGACATGTTATCGCGTTGCGGGGCACTCAAAGCAAACGAACTAAACCAGCCAAGAGACGAGTTGAGAAAAACCGTAACCGAGATTAAAAAAGACGTCCACACGCAGCTCGAACAAACCCGAAAAACCAACAAAAACGTGGACGGGATCGCCAAGGAGCTAAGGAAACTCCATAGAGCAGGAATCAACAATGCGACTAACTCGGTAACCGTCGTGGCTGTTCTTTTCGCCACGGTGGCATTTGCAGCCATTTTCACGGTTCCAGGAGGCGACGACAACCACGGTGTGGCCGTGATGGTCCACGCAACATCTTTCAAGATATTCTTTATATTCAACGCGATTGCGCTCTTCACTTCGTTAGCAGTAGTTGTCGTGCAAATCACGTTGGTAAGAGGAGAGACTAAGACAGAGAGACGTGTGGTGGAAGTAATCAATAAACTGATGTGGCTAGCCTCTGTCTGCACCACCGTGGCATTTATTTCCTCCTCGTACATTGTGGTCGGTCGGAGAAACAGATACGCGGCGATTGTGGTTACGGTGATAGGAACGGTGACGATGGCCGGAATCTTGAGTATAATGACATATTATGTTGTGAAATCAAAGAGGACGAGGAAAGTAAGAAAGAAGGAGAAGAAATATGCTAGAAGTGGGACTGGCTCGTTTCATCATGCGCATCCGTCAGAGACTGAATCGGAGGTAAATCCAATTTATGCTATATGATTGATGATGATTATCCATGGAAACTCTTTTTTTTTTGTTGTTGTTTCTTGACCTATGTAAGTGTAGTTTTTTTACTCTCTCTTTTTGCCGAGGAACAAGTGTTATGTGAAAATGGCCTAACAATCTTAAAACTCTCTTGTTAGTATATGAACTATGTTTTTTATCTAGCATACTTGCTCTGTTTCTGGGATTTCTTTACGTTTTTTTTCTTTTTTCATTTAACAACGCTTTTAATTTAGGTCTGATGATGTATTAGAAGATTATTATCTGAAAGCTATAATTAATTTATATCCAAGTATAAAGACTTCTTTTCTTCTGTATATATGTAAAGAGAAAGATATAAAGGTCTTGTATAGCAGATTGTCACAGCTTATATATAGCATTCTTTCCCTATTGTGTTAACTCCTACATGAGACATTAAAAAGTCGAGAGACAAGTGTTCCAGCTCTTTCTTGTGTACACAGTCACAGATAAAGCTTACGAAGTCCAATAATGGAGATTCTGCAGCCACCACGACCGACCCATTTGCAGCTCGTTTTAGAAACCGGAAAAGTTTTCTCCTATTGCAACAAGGATTTCTTCAATCAACTTCTTCTACTGGTAGTTTCCAGAAGTTCCATGGGTTATAATCTTCCTGCAAATGTGTAAGAAACGCTTGAAACCATTAACGAATGTACATTTCATTACATTTCCTCAAGGATTTTAGCTTTACTTACCTCCTCAACAAGCGAAGTTGGAGGAAACATGTCGTTGACAAGCGTATGAAGTGAAGTGTACGACTTCTTGGCATCTATGCGATGTCCTGTAGCGACCTCTCCCTAATCCATTTTTAAACACAGCGTCTCTTAGCACATGTGGAGAAACACCCATGCATGTCAGACTCCAAGAGATTGGGGTTACCTTTGGGTTAATTATGAATATCTTGCCCTTTGGGATTCCGAGTTTTCTGTAACTCAGCTCATCGGTATCTCTATTTCCAAATCCAGCATAGAACGGGTTGTAATCCGCTGGGAAGAGTTTCCTGATATCCTGTTCATACATTGTAAAGTTGGTTATAACCCTTCTTTTATTTTCCGGTAAAGAAAGAGAATATTTTACCTCCAAACATGCGATCTTGAATTCGTGAGGTGCTCTTCTTATAACTACGAAGCGGTAATGAAGTATAGAAGTAAGAGAATGAGATATCATTATTATTGAATTACAACGTATGTTAACATGCTACTAATGAATCTTCAAGGCATACCTTCACGATACAATGCTGGAAATAGCCCGTCTGGTGAAATGACTACAGGGCCGTTTGGCAGAGCGTTTCCGTCCTGCAAGCCAGAAAAAAATCCATAAGAAGCAGAGAGATCTCACAACAAAGGGCTATAGCTCGCCCCACATGTCATCATTTCAGTTCCTTAGGCTTATCTTGTTAATAAGGATAAGGTATGGATTACATGCCGATACAACGGTAAAAATATTTCATTCTCACCTGCTTCAGATTAAGTAAGAAATTTCTCGTTAGATATGCCTGTACGATGGCCCGAGCGCTTAGAAACAGCAGCTGATATCCATTTTCCTGAAAGATCCAAGCAATATGAATTATGAAGCATCAAATGAGATCCATAATTGCAAGGAACCAATTTTAAGATATCCAAACTGTTGATCAAGATAAGAAACAATCACGTGAATTGACAATTTATCCAAAAGTCAATTTCGCTTCTTATATATGCAGCAGCGGATCTCATGCTTTTTCAACTTAAAGTACGAGAAGCGAAATTGACTTAACCTTTGAATATTACCTTTATGGCAGAAAAAAGCTTGGCTACACCGGACTGTGTCCAGTCCTTTCCAACCAAAGGCATGAACTGACCTAACACATCAGATCTACAAAACCAGATCATCACTTTAGTCTAGTCTAGATATTATAGAACTAAAATGAAAACAATTCACTTGCGATAAGGATCCAAAGCTGTACTTAGTTATAGTTCCATCAACATCTGAAATCACAATCTTGGTGTCCCATCTCCACCGGTAAATATGTGCATCCACCTAATAAAAAACCAAAGAGTATTTGAAAACCAAAGTCAGAAGAGTTTTCCCCAGCGTGAATTCAAATTTTCAACTAAGGTAACCCATCAACAAACCTGTTGTGTTCCAAAAACTCTCGTGGAGAAACTAAAAGTTATCATATTCTGACCATCTTTCAGATTCAGAGATGCGATCTGTTCGTTGGTAGGGACATTGGTTCTCACAAGTTGTCTACGCGGAGACTCATGGCGACTCTCTGTGGTTGATAGTGGTTCTGGTGAGTTCTGTAAGCCAGGTTCAGAATCTACAAATAGATCTTCCTCGCTCGAGGAGGAACTACCTGTATGCTCGATTGTTTTAACCCTTCTAAAAGGAATGGGCCATAGTCTCCATCTTCTTCCGGACGAAGGAGTTACTGTAGTTCCGTCATCCTTGGATTTCGCTGATTCATTTTCCTCTACAGAAATCACATCATCTGGCTGGATATCTAAGTCTAGATCAAACACAGCTTTCCCAAGCACAATTCGAGCAGCTTTCTTCCATGGCATATACGTTTCTCTAATCCTAACAACCAGATTTTCACTTTCAAGAATTGACGTTGCTGAAATTTTATATTCTTCCAAGGATATCCGATGCGCATCAAAGACTTCAGCAGCTGCGCTAAGTCCCATACCCTCATGAAGCTCATCCTTGCAAAGTGAAAGCTCATATCCTGAAATAACGAAGCCACTGTTAAAAACAACTGCAACTACTAGTCACAGTTCAGCACAAAAATAAACAAATAAAGTTCCTTACTCAGCTCTGTTTCGGATTTCCCTATGTCCACATTAGAAGTCGCAGTCACTGAATCCACTGTCTTCCCCTCCTCATTATCCTCCTCGGTCAGTTTAGACGGAGTCAGTTGTTCATCGTCCTCCCTCGTTGGCTCTATAGAGACTCCTTCAGAAGCCTGATCTTCTGATTCTATAGTCCCGCCTTCCTGGTTGTTAATCAAGATGGCAGTTTCACCGGATGTTCTTGGCTGTTCATCCTTACATTCTGACTCAATATTAGAATCAACGGATATCCTGAATTCCTCAGTTGTTTTCACTTCTTCTGTTGTTATTTGGGTTGTTGAAGATTTAGAGCCATGAACAAATTTTTTTACTGTTTCAACAGCCACTTCATCTTCACTTCTATCATTGTCCGTGATGGTGGTAGGTGGAATCTCACCTTCTTTTAGATTCTGACCCTCACAAGTAGGAGCTCGTTCATTAGACTTCGTATCCTCACCAGGTTGGGTCAACTCTGGCTGTTCCAGACAGTTCCCAAGAACATCTCTTTCAGCATCATGAGAATCTTTCTCCATATTACCAGGAGAATGGGAATCAAAACCATTACGCTCAACACTTGCAATGTCTACTTTTTCGGATTCAATATTAACAGCATCAGATGACTCAACTTTGCCGATATATTCAGTAGCCCACGAAGTCTCTGACGAAGCAAATTCAGTATTACCTTCACAAAACTCAGTCCCATCACCAGGGGCCAAATGAAACTGAGGAGTATTTAACCGTAAATTCTCAGCCTCTTGTTCTGCTGCTGACACAGGAGCTGTTAGTATATGTCCATCGATACTCACTAAAACCACTTCAGAATCTGAGCCTTGAGAATCCCCATAGTTTTCCACATTTAAATTCTCAAACCGAGCACTTCCATACTCCGAAGTTGGAGACGGTGGATCATCCTGAAAATCATAAAACCTCCTATTACCATCAGACTCTGTCCTCTCAAGCCGATTCAAAGAGTTGAACTCATCTCGTAGTCGCTCAGCACCAGTGTCAGACAAACTATGCTCGAGTCGAAAACCCACACCTTTATTCTCATTACCATTGTTACTCTCAGACTCGGAAATTAAACTGTTGGTTTCATGAGCTGCAGGATCAACTTCTCTGATGAAATATGCTTCACCAGAGTTATCGAGATACATGTGGAAATCAGCTTCGGTGCCATTTACAGATATCTTCACAAACTTCTCGGCTCCTTTGAGAACACCTTGAAACTTACCAAACCTAACATACCAAGGCGTGCTCCTAAACGAACCATCTTGTTGTTGAACAACGATCACATCAATAGCACCACCAAATGGATGAAATGGTGTAGCAACAGAGTAAACGCCTTGAGAAATCAAACTCCCAACTTTTCCAACCACATTCATTTCATCAAACCTATGAGATAATCTGTCCTAATTCATATACAAAAGAGTTTCTAGACAGATTAAACTCCAGCCTGTAGATGAAACAAAACAACCCAACAAGCCAAAATTAGAGAATTTGATGATCTGTGTGACTA